CATTTGGAAGCCTCAGATGGAAGACATGTTATATTGCAAAGATTTATTTGATCCCATTGAGGGTGATGAGGCTAAAGGAGATAAGGAAGACAAAGAATGGGAGCGTATGAATCGGAAAACGGTTGGGTTTATCTGACAATGGATTGATGATAGTGTGTTTCATCATGTTGCTCAAGAAACAAAAGCGGACACTTTGTGGAAGAAATTGCAAGATCTCTATGAGAGGAGAACCCCACAAAATAAAGCTTTTCTAGTTAAAAGACTTGTGAACTTGAGATATAAGGAGGGAAGTAGCATGTCGGAACACTTGAGTGAATTTCAAGATGTTGTAAATCAATTGACAAATCTTGAGATTGACTTAGGTGATGAATTGCAAGCATGTCTATTGCTTGGTACTCTTCCCGATAGTTGGGATACTTTGGTTGTGGCATTAAATAACTTAGCTCCGTTTGGTGTGATTTCTATTAGCATGGTCAAAGAAAGCCTATTCAATGAAGAAACAAGGAGAAAAGGCTTGAATTATGCTTCTAAATCGGAGGCACTTGTCACAGAAAACAGGGGGAGAAATCAATCAAGAAACTTCCAGAATTTTGATAAAAGAGGCAAGTCAAAAGGAAGATCGAAGTCCAGGCCGAGGAGGAGTGTGAAGTGCTACAATTATGGCAAGATGGGACATTATGCAAGAGAATGTAGGTTGCCAAAGAGAGAAAAATTCCATGATAGAAATGAAGATCGAAAGAAAGAAGAAAAGCAAGTTACAACGGCAGTGGCATCCGACGGCGATATTGTGTTCATTTGTGATGACACTTGTGTGAACCTTACATGCCAAGACTCTAGTTGGGTTGTTGATTCCGGAGCTTCATTTCACGTCATCTCACGGCGTGACTATTTTATTTCCTATCGCAGCAGTGATTTTGGTTGTGTTAGGATGGGAAACAGTGGTGTTTCCAAGGTTATCGGAATGGGGGACGTTCATTTGGAGACCGACGTTGGATGTAGTTTGCTTTTGAAAAATGTGAGACATGTTTCGGATATTCGACTTCACTTGATCTCCACAGGTGCCTTCATGATGATGGTTATTGCAATATCTTCGGTGACGGCAAATGGAAATTGACCAAGGGTTCCATGATAGTGGTTAAAGGTAAGAAAACATGCACTCTTTACACCATGCAAGCTAAGTTGGTCAAGGAAGATGTGAATGTAGTGGAGGACTCCTCAGTTGATCTATGGCATATGAGACTCGGTCATCTCAGCGAGAAGTGGCTTGAAACTCTTGCGAGAAAGAATCTCCTACCATTGAAGGAGAAAAATCCGAAGGAATGTGCTCATTGTCTTAAAGGTAAGCAACATAGATTCTCATTTCATAGTTCCTCTCCACATACGAAATCAAATGTACTTGATTTAGTTCATACTGATGTTTGCTGCATGGATGCTAGAACACTTGGTGGTGCATCGTACTTTATGACATTTATTGATGATTGTTCTAGAAAAGTATGGGCTGTTGCTTTGAAATCTAAAGACCAAATGCTTGCGGCTTTCAAACAATTTCATGTCAATGTGGAAAGAGAAACCGGGAAGAAGTTGAAATGTGTTCGAGCTGACAATGGTGGTGAATATAGAGGCTCGTTTGAATATTATTGCAGGGATTATGGCATCAAGCTTGAGAAGACTGTTCCAAAAACACCACAACAAAATGGAGTGGCGGAGAGAATGAACCGGACAATTAATGATCGGATTCGGTGTATGCTCTCTCATGCGAAATTGCCTAAGTCATTTTGGGGTGAAGCGATGAGAACAGCAGTAGACTTGATAAATCTTTCTCCATCAGTTCCTCTTAAGGGGGATGTTCCACAAAGAGTTTGGAGTGGGAAAGATGTTTCATATAATTACCTGAAAGTCTTTGATTGCTAGGCATTTGTGCATGTTCCAAGAGATGAAAGGTCAAAGCTTGATGACAAGTCTAAACAGTGTATCTTCTTGGGTTATGGACATGAAGAGTTTGGCTACAGGTTATGGGATCCAGTTGCAAAGAAAATCATTAGAAGCCGAAATGTGGTATTCTTTGAGCATCAAACCATTGAAGACATTGACAAGCTAGGGAGGCCAAAGAATGCAGCTCAACATTATGTTAGTTTCAGCCCAAGTCCTCCTACCGTATTGGGTGGAAATCACGGAGGAGAAGTACATGGAAATCATGAAGATGGTGAATCCTCACAAAATGTTGATCCTTTAGATGAGACAGGTGAAACAGTTGAGCAAGAACAGTCAGTTGAGCCAGTGGAGCCAGTTGAGCAAGAACAGCCAGTCCTACCTCAGGTTAGAAGATCTGAAAGAGAACGTAGGCCCTCACAGAAATATCAGCCGCATGAGTATGTGTTACTCACCGATGCAGGAGAGCCAGAAACTTATGAAGAGGCTATGTCATATGATCAAAAGAACGAGTGGTATGAAGCCATGCAAGAAGAGCTCAAATCATTGTATGGAACTACACATTTGAATTGGTGAAGTTATCTAAAGGCAAAAGAACACTCACAAATAAATGGATGTACAAGTTGAAGACGGAAGAAAGTAGTTTGCAACCACGATACAAGGCTAGACTTGTCGTGAAGGGCTTTCGTCAAAAGAAATGAATTGACTTTGAAGAAATATTTTCACCGGTTGTAAAAATGCCTTCTATTCGAGTTGTTCTTGGGTTGGCCGCCACCTTGAATTTAGAAATTGAACAACTTGATGTAAAGACTGTTTTTCTTCATGGAGACTTAGAGGAAGAAATATATATGGAGCAACCGGAGGGTTTTATAGTCGAAGGCAATGAGCATCATGTATGTAGATTGAGAAAAAGTTTGTATGGTCTCAAGCAAGCGCCAAGGCAATGGTATATGAAGTTCGAATCATTCATGGAAGATCACGGGTATGGTAAGACCAACTCTGATTCTTGTGTTTTTATGAAAAGATTCTCAGATAATGATTTTCTTATCCTCCTACTCTATGTGGATGATATCTTGATTGTCGGACATGATGCTAAGAAAATCAAGAGTTTAAAAAATGAGTTGAGTATAACTTTTGCAATGAAGGATTTAGGTCCGGCAAAGCAAATCCTTGGCATGAAAATTACTCGTGACAGGTTGAACAAGAAACTTTGGCTATCTCAAGAGAAGTACATTGACAAGGTGTTGGAAAGATTCAACATGAGCACATGTAAACCGGTAAGTACTCCACTTGCCAGTCATTTCAAGTTGAGTAGTGACCAGTGTCCTACAAGTGAGAAAGAGAAGGAAGAGATGATGAAAATTCCTTATGCATCGGCCGTGGGTAGTTTGATGTATGCAATGGTTTGTACAAGACCAGACATTGCTCATGCAGTTGGTGTTGTGAGTAGGTTTCTCTCAAATTCAGGTAAAGAGCATTGGGCTGCTGTTAAATGGATTTTGAGGTATCTTAGAGGTACTTCCAGATTCTATTTGTGTTATGGAAATGGAAAGCCTGAGTTGAGTGGTTATTCAAATGCGGACTATGCCGGTGACGTTGACTCTCGAAAGTCCACATCGGGTTACATGATGATTTTTGCAGGGGAAGCGGTTTCATGACAGTCAAGATTGCAAAAGTGTGTTACTTTGTCTACGACTGAAGCAGAGTATATCGCTATTACCGAAGGAGGTAAAGAACTTTTGTGGATGCAGAAATTCCTACAAGAGTTGGGCTTAAAGCAAGAGAAGACCGTTCTATATTGTGATAGCATGAGTGCTATCTATCTTAGCAAAAATCCGGTGTTTCATTCAAGATCGAAGCATATCGATTTGAAGTATCATTGGGTCCGAGAAAAATTGGAAGAAAAGCTCTTTCTACTTGAGAAAGTCCATACCGACGACAATGGATCCGACATGATGACCAAAGTCTTGCCCGTGGTGAAACTTGACTCTTGTAGAAGCAAAGCGGGCATGATGAATCTTCCCACATGAGGTGGAGGGGGAGATTTGTTGACTGGGTCCACCTTATGTGGGGCCCAGCCAGTACAAACAAAACAAAACAAAACAAAAAATAAAAAGCAACAAAAAGAACAAAAAGAAAAGGGGCAGCTTCGTGCGGTCATGGGAGCCCACAGGGAAGAGAGAGAGAAAAAGGCAGAGACCACCGAGAGCGAGAGAACATGGGAGAAGAAAAGGGGCGTATCTTCGCGGTCCCGATTCGAGGGCCAAACGTTGTCGAAATTGGCTCAAATTTTAGTATGTTGTTCGTGAGACCGAGGGCTACGAGTTGATTGGTTTCGTTCGTTGAGAATCTCCTCCGAACTCTTCAATCACGGTTAGGGTTTCTCTCCTTTCTTTTGTGTAAATCCACATTTGTGGTGATGGAATAATGTTGAAATGTTGATGTTGTACCTCTAGTGTGTGACTAGAGAGGAAAACTAGTGTGTATCCTACTATTCTTGGTGATTAGTGGAAGTTTTATGTGTGGGGCGGTCCGTGATTTTTCCCTCATTGGGTTTCCACGTTAAATCTCGGTGTCGTTGCATTTGTTTCCTTATTATTGCGTGGTTATATTGCTGGAATATCATTGATTGTTGTTGGAATTAAATCGATTTTGGTCGGTTTAGTTTCGGGGGAGATATTGATCCTGGATTGGCTTGGTTCTTGGTGAATCGTTGCCGCGGTTCTCCCCAACATTACCCATGTTGATTTGCGCTCATCCAAGTCACAAGTGTGAATAGAATTCACATAATCAATTGGCTCACTACAACAGTCGTCCCTTAGCTACTCAAGCCGTCTCTTCAGATATCCGAGTATCTACTTCACAACCTTCCAGCGAGCCTTACCCGGATGTTTCATGCACCGACAGCGCTCGGTCCCCTATTCTGACGCTCCTCAAACTCATGTCGGACCTATCTCAATCTTCGGGACTCGATCCAAACTCCGATTTGGCAAGAAATTGAACACAAACCAAAGAGGGATGTATATACTTTTGCGTCGTCCATGTATAGCTAACAGGAAAGTAAGGAGGACTTCTAAAATATTAACCTTGCACTGAAGATCGAAGATAAGCAAAACCCCATGGATCCAAGAGTCGACACATACGAACATATAATCAAATAAGGCAGCACACTTCTAGCTCTCACCTACATTGATGAGTGAGAGATGCGCTGATTTTGTGCGCTCGACGTTCATATACGATACTTGCATGTGTACATCCGCAGATAAAATCCACACATGCTCATCTGTATCTGCATATATTTACGTACGTACCAAACCCTCCCAACGTGCATCTATATCTATATAGATGTGAATAAGGTAAATTAAGGTGATGGATCGTCTCAGGCCAAGAACTTGTGGAACAGGGACTGGAACTTGGCCATCTCTGGGGCGGGCAGGGCGACCAAAACATTAACGCCGTCGCCGCTGTTCTGGCTAGTCGTGATCATGTCCGGGAAGAGCAAGATGATGTCCTTGCGGTGGTACACCAGTGGGCAGCTGTACCTCGGCCTCCCCCACGGGTACTCCACGTCGGCAAACCCGAGCCTCCACCACGACGACACCAGCACCTCCCCATGTGGGAACCCGACGTTTACTTCCCCCCAGTCAATGGCTGACCTCGCGTACTCGTCCGTCATCCTCCCCGCCCCCTCCGTCACCATCTCTACCAGCCTCCCCAGCGGCCATTCCTCTAGCTCCCCGCACGTTGCTGTCACGTACGCCGTCAGCACCGCATTCCCCGCGTAACCCTGCGGCAGCGGGGGCTCCAGCCTCGGCCTTATGTCCACTGCATACAGCAGGGTCGATGCTCGGCTCTTACTACTGCCGTCGTCGGCGTCAGCACACGACGACAGGGCCTTGCACCTCCATATGTGGGCGGTCACGACATTGAAGCTGGTGATGCGAGCCTTGGGATAGGATGATTCCAGGCCGCCACCTGCAGCATCCTTGGCGGCCTTCTCCTTGAGACGGGCAATGTCCTCGGGAGAGAGCTTGAAGATCTTGAAGTCCAGGTCCTCGGGGGCGTCCTTGAACACGAGGGGACGCGAGGAGTCTTGGCCCTTGGGGACATCAAGCTTGAGCAGCTCTGGGTGTGGGAACGAGACGAGCGGCGGCGACCGGGCAGCCAGGAGCCGCCTGTCATTGCAGGGATCCACCACCAGGGGCTTGTCGGCGGCGAGTGCGCCCAGGTTTTGCAAGAACATCTTGAAGCTCAACCCGTCGAAGGTCGCGTGATTGGTCGATACCCCCATTGCGAATCCCCCGCACGTGAACGATGTCACCTGTCCAACCCATCATCAACAAAGACAACACGAGAATCGCCACCTCCTCTCATCAAAAGGAGAGTGCCCAAAGATCTACATCTATCAACAAATCATGTGAAGGCGTAGTGACTGATGAACTCCATATGAAGTTCCGTACGGCTAACCATTGTACATGCTACTCTGCAAATGCATGTGTAAGCTGAAGGCGATGAGCGAGGACCGATCGAGCTAAGTGAAAACAATGGGACATCTGTCAATTACCACGTGATCAATACAACACAATATGGAGATCAGTGCTATTGAATTAGGCTTTTCAAACCCGTGTGGCCCAGAGTGATTATAATCACAGAGACACCGATTTGATCAGCCACAGATTTTGGTGCGCATAGTACAGCCCTATGTTTCTTCTTCTGACCGAGACTGATCATAAAAAAGGTGGTTGTAGAGCTCAAGAGATATAAGGAGATCAAGGGCTTGTGCATTTATTGACGAACTGCGTAGGTGGAGGTTGCAACAGGGCAAAGAGAAATCTATCCTACCCATGTGCGACCGACGATAATCACGATAATTTGACAGATCCAAATCAGGAAGTTCACCATAGAAGAGTAGCTGATCGAGTCTTGTTTTTGGAGATTCAAGGGTTATACACCAAACATGTTCACAAAACTTCTGATGTGATAACGTTAGTTTTACAAGTTCACACCGATGCGAGGCCGGCGATTGCTATTCCGGAATGTGATTTAATTGGGTTTACATGGTATTTCAGGAGATGCTATCCTTCACTTTAGTAGCAGTTATGTCTTCTCTAGATGATGGGTAATTTCCATCTCACTAATCAATTATTAAATATTTTTATGGTGGGATGTTCATTCATGTATATCTCCGTTTCAGGATATCACTTCAATTGCTCATACATTACATACCTGGACTATGCACAAGGGCTGATTGTCAGGTTGAAGAATGTCCAAAGACTTGGTGACCAACCGCTCGAAGGCCGGGTTCGGATAAACCAAGTCCCCGACATCGTCCAGGCTGCACTCGCTCGACGCCACCACAAACCCGACCCCTTCCGAGTTGCACTCAATCTCCAACCGCCCACTCGCGGCGTTGAACTTGAGCCGTCCACTCAAGAACTCGTAATGCACCAAGATCTCGGCGAGCGCGGCCTTCAGCCTCTCGGCCACCTTGTCGGGGGGGAACTCGACGTGGACAGGGAAGAAGTGGATGGTCTGGACGTCGAAGTTGAGGACCTTGTCAATGTTGGACATGAAGAAGGGCTTGTTGGGGATGTGCTCGGACGGGAACACCAGAGATGTGTCGTGGACGGTGACCTTCAGGTCCTGGATGAGAGGCGGAGGTTCTTGGGACACAGTCCCCATCTTCTTCTCTATTTCTCTCTATCGATCTTTCTCGTGCGCATCACTCACACATGACCAACCTTGCTTCGTACTTCTAGATATATATATACATAAAAGGTGCTTAACCAATCCCATTAAAAATCTCAAGGGAAAGAAAATGCTCACGTGACTATGGTGGTCCCCCAAGGAAGAAGCATTAGAAGAAAATCGTATAATCAGACTCGATGACTCGATAAACAACGCGCAAGACGTATGTATACTAACGACTCCACTTCTACTGTGATTGGCTTTATCCATCGCGGGTTTTTTATTTTTCTTTTCCGGGTGTTCCTCTCTGGTCCACGTTATCTCATGACATCTCATTATAAATGTGGAAACTGGCACCTGAGCGGTAGGCCAAGGCCAAATCTACGTATGAAAAGCGACTGAAACCGCAATGGGAGCCAAGGTACGTGGAGAAGAGTCGGCAAATATACTGTTCAGTCTCTCTCCTTTTGTGCCTGTGAGATTTGCCAAGAAGACCGTGTAACATGAATGTTGATCTCCCACACACAATAAATATGGATTCGACAGCCAGCTGCGTAGATGCTGTGGCGGGGGGTGGGGGGGTGGGGCGGTGGTGTTATTTAAGATAGGTAGCTGAGTAAATAAGAGAGAGAGTGGTTGGGCAGGGTTTCCTTGGCTGTGTGTGGTTGCCTCCTATATATAGCTGTGTATTTATGGGGGTTGTATTGCTACTTGTGTATAAAGCCTTCTTGTATTTGCAACAAAACCCCAATAAATCATCTGTTTCTTGGAAAGGCTTGGGTTGGGTTTCTTCCCATGTCTCTCAATCATCATAATCATCGAAGCCACCTAGGGTTCATAATGCCACTTTTGCACAAGAGTTAAACTTTGTCTCTCGAGTTCCAAGTTAATCGAACTCTATATTTTTTGGGCTTGAGTACTAGATAGATTGTCGCGATTGGAACAACCCTTGGATCCCTGGCAGTCCCATGGCCTACCTCCTCGAAGAAGGTGTGCCTCACTGTCAATATCTGGTCAAGATCCTCTGAATTTATGGAGGTTAATTTACGGATTACATTTACCCGCTTAAATAGTTGAGATCGACACTTCAACAAGCAAATCGGCGCTCCCAAATAGTTGAGATCGACACTTCAACAAGCAAATTGGCGCTCCCAAATTGCTCTCTCTCTCTCTCTCTCTCTCTCTCTCTCTCTCTCTCTCTCTCTCTCTCTCTCTATGAGTGTGACTGCCGCCCTAGAAATCGCAGCTCCCGTCGACTGGGTCGCATGAAGATATGACGTCTATAGCTGCAGATAGAACCTCAGGCTGGCATGGCATTGATGACAAGGATGGTGTCGCGTTGGCAGGAACTCACAACGACCGCAGTACGGTAGCGTGGAACTGCTAGAAAGAAGAGGAAAAGAGAGAGAGAAAGACATAAGGGATGCGTATGTGTGATTGCTGCCATAGAAATCGCAGCTCCCGTCGATTAGGTCGCACGGAGATTGTGACCTCTGTAGTTGCGGATGGAACCTCAAGCTGGCATAGGCATTGACGACAAAGATGGTGTCGCGTTGCTCGTAACGACGGTGGTATGCTAGCGTGGAGCCGCTAGAAAGAAGGGGAAAAGAGAGAGAGAAGACATAAGGGATAAGAAAAGAAGGGAGGAAAACACATCCCAACCCATGAATACTTTAAATGTTTGACATGCATGTTTTCATCTAAAAAGGCTGAACTTAGCTTCTAAATTCAAATTTTAGAAACCCCTACCCTAAAACTCTTGGTTTTGCCTCTTGCTTTATATGTGAGATGGCATAAGGTCGTCAAAAAAGATCGATGGATTAACCTAATGTCGAAGTTGAATGTTTTTGCAGGTCAACAAATTATTCGAGTAGGGTTGCTAGACTGATGAAGTTAGTTCCTAGGACCCATTAAAGATCCTGGCAATACATACAAGACATGTGCATTGTGTGGTATTTAGTTAAAAGGTGGTGTTTTAATTTTATGGCTTCAGGCCATGATAAGGACCATATCCGACTTTGTCCGGCGTAACAAAAATAATAAATGTGTTTCCATTTTAAAATTACTGAATACTTGGAGTAACTTTGAAATATCATCATTCATGTGTTTTTAAAAATTTAGGGTTTTCGAGATTAGGTCATAAATTAGAGGGTTGTTACCACGAAAAACCCCAAATCGGTACACCTATGATAAATTTATCCTTCGTTAGTTTTCGTTAAATTTTGCCGTCAAATTACTTAGTTAAATGACACAAGGCAGTTGAAGAATGTACCAATTTGGGAATTTACTCTCCGTTTGTCCCAGTGTACTAGTTTATGGTTTTTTTTTGTATTAATTCAATTTAATAGAGGATAAATTTGTCACAGATGCACCAGTTTAGGATTTTCGTGGTATTAATCCTAAATTAAACGTTAAATCACAAGAACGATAAAGATAAAAATCAGATAAGCCATTTAACCTAATAATTAACAAACAATTTGTTTTCCTACCCTAATTGTTAAAATTTTATAAATGGAAATGTAGGGAGGTGTTGAAATTAATTAAGCTTGAAATAACGAATGGCTCAATGTAATTGGCCAACATGAACTTTCGGTGCGAAAGAGATTTGGCCATGGTTGTGGCTCTAGCAAAGCGACGTGCATGGGGAGGACGTGTAAGCTTTAGAGCCTAAAAAGTCGTCCAACGTGAAAAAGTAAGGTAGACCGTCCTCACCGGTTGAATGCCACAGAAAATCGTCGTCGGAGTTGGAGAAAGAATTGGACATTCGAACCAAATAGAAATTGTTTATCTTCGTTAGATGATATAAGGACATGTTGGGCATTCGATTTGATATGTTACTATTCGGTTTGATATTTTCCACGATTCACGGGCAGGCGGAGTTTGGGTCGGTGCTGTGACGTGAACAAGGTGCGGTTGTCGGCAAGGGTCTGGCTGCCGACGTGCCTCGGGACGGGTCAGAACGTGTGATGGTGTGGGCAGGGTCTAATGTGTTTCAAACATTTCAGAACTCCGATACCCTTATAGCCTCGGACAAATCTACAGAAAGGTTTTCTATATCATGCTGAAAATAAATACAAGCAATGGCAATTGCTTGAACAGACTCCGAATTAATATGGAAACATGTATACCAAAATCCCACGACATTCCACATGTCTGTGAGATTCGGCAAAAATCGTGAAAACATCAAACCAAATGAAAAGAATTTATCAAATCAAGTACACAACACATCACATCGTGTGTGCCCTAACCATTCCGTCGGGTTACCACGTGCTCCCGACTTCGTTCTTCGATCGTTTTTAGCAATTATGCGAGATGAAACACCGGAAAGGCGATATGTCCAAAAGTACGGACCATATACAGTGTTGGAGGACTATGAAGATAGATACTTTAAGTGATCGTGAGCTACCGGATTGATCGATGGATGGGACCGTCCTAACTGCTGCACAAATTTGCTCGATTGCTTCCCTTTTTCTTGGTATATTTTCATTGATAAGGGCAAAGTTGATCTGGATCTAACTTGGGGTCATGGTCTCTTTCTGAGGGTTTCGTTCATGTGCCATTTAATGGTCACCCAGTTCTCGCTCTCTTTGTAGGGCATTCTCAATAGCTAGCCGCGGTCCCCAATGAGTAATATGAGACTGTCCCCATGTCGTCCTCGTGAATGTGATAACATGATTTTGGTGTTTTCTATACATATGAATACGGCGGATTCCTAATGGTACAATTAAAATGATTATGTACATTATGTGTTAATCGACACGCGATCGACACTCAACCAATATCGAGTGCAAATCAAAGCTTACACAACTCTAGGAGTCAAAGAACTTAGAAAACCGTCAAGCACATAACCCGACGTACTAAAAGTCGACTCTGAAGCAACGGTAGTGACGAAAATAGAAAAAAAAACATCTCAAGCCGTGAATGATGGGAATTATACTTTGACCTAGCACTCTTCCACCACATCAAAAGGTCAAGATTAAGAACATCTTCACTTTCGGCTTCAATATACTACCGATTAAGCTCAGATTTGTTGTCATCACACACTTTTTCTTCACACAAAAGAAGGTTTTTCACCAAGCTTGGACATCATACTTGTCGTTACCTTCATTGCCACCAGCATTGGAACCGCTATTACTACTACTTACACTTGGACCACCAAAATTTTGGTTACTAGAACCAACAATAGATTGCTTATAAAATTCACACAAACGGTCCAAGGCGTTCCTCACCTTATCGTACATCTCATCAATTTTCGCTTCATCATCATAAATTTGTTCATAATAAAACTTCACAAAATTCAACGTTTTTGCAGGATCAACGCAACCGCAATCAATACCATCACATTTACTTTATCCAAACTCTAATAGTACTTGTTTAGCCGAAATTTCTCCCACGACAAAATATCTTTCACTAAAAGTTGTTCTTCAGTTTTTAAATTAAAGAAAACTAGGGTCCTACGCCAATTCCAAAGAGGAAATATCATGGACTATTAGGAATCAACAACTTTGTACAGAACGAGACTGTACACACGCAAACCGTGCCGAAATTTAATCGATGACAAGGACTGAAAGATACAAACTCAATGAAGTAACCATATGTAAATAAACTATGCTGGAATTTAATCGACAACACAGTCTGAGAATACAAAGATACTATGCCAAAATTTAATTGACGACGCAACACCTAAAATAGAGATGACACCCCAGTAGTTAATCGATGTCCCGAACCTGAAAGGAAAATAAAGTGCACTGCATGAAAGTAAATATACTAAAAGGATAGTAAATTTGTTTGATTTGTGCAAGAGCCGTCTTTAGTAAATGATTGGTGGTATTTATAATGGTCTAGTGATAACTGCTCTCCGGCGGTTTTCAAAGGTTTCATTTCTTCGAACGGTTTCCGTCAATCGCCTCCATGTTCCTCCATCTCCGCAAAAGTTCGTGCCCACGTTCTCATGATGCCATGATTCTGTTTCCAAGCAATTGCTCTTCTTCGACGGTGTGTTAACTACCCCATGATCTTACTTTTGCGTGATTACTGCCCTATGGTCTTACTTCCCAAGTGATG